ATGTTACAGCTGTAAATAGCTGAAATACATGTATCTCAAACAAACAGGACTTTCCCTCTTTTAATGCTTGTCTTTGAATAGCCCTTTGTAAATAAGCAAGTAAAATTTCAAGGTAATGGAGAAATCACTGAGTAATTACAACATATTATCAAATAGCTACTTGTGAACAATTGAAAGCAATGATAGAAAGCGGACTGGACAATTCCTGGACCGTGCAGAACATCCTGCAGTCTCACTTATGGATATGAATGTTTCAGTTCACTAAGAATGGTGTGGAAACTGTGTATCCTTCACCCAATCAAAGTGCACATGCCATCCTCTTCACACTTGAACATGTGGATCAACGTTTGATTTGATTAGGATGTCACAAGGCCTGTGTCTACACAGCTGTGACGAAAATAAAGAAAAAAGCTGTACAAATGCACAGATGCATGTCGATAGCTCTTTCATATTTTGGTTATTTGACTGGGATTTTTATTTGATTCTGTTTTAAACAACATTTACCGGCAAAAACTAAACAAGACTCACTTGGTAGTTAAAATTTGACATTAAATTCAACACACCTCTCTAGAGATGATAATGTGCAATTTACACCAGTAAAATTCCATATTCCTCTCCAGAGGGCAGTATAGATCTTTACATATAGTGACAGTATACGTGTGATTGGATGTAAACTGTGGTAAATGATGGATTGATTGAGTGAACCATTGTGTTGATTGTACTATAGGGCAAAATAACCAACTACCTGTACATGTAACCTACCAATCAGCAACAAATAACTGTGCATGCAATTATTCGAGTTAATTGAGGGGCGGATCCAGGAAACGATCATAAAATGTTATACATGACAAACAATGTTTACAATGGTATTACTGCACTTTAGTTATGATTTGTTTTTATTTTCTCCATTCTGTCATTTTTTTGTCTCAGAGTGGGGGGGTCCATGCCTGTAATTGCCAAAAGCTTGCAAATCCACAATATGTGTACGTTTGTATATTTCCCCCACTCTGAAAGAGATTTGGACATTATGCTAAGAAAGGTTTTGCTCATTAATAAAGTACTTCATTATTAATTGGCAATTAATTGTGCATTAATTGACTTGCTGCACTTATGGGGTATGCACAATCATGCTTACTTCTTAACTACCCGATGCTGAACAAGGCAAAAGAAAAAAAATCTGCTTCCCATTGCACGGCACCTGAAAACAGGGAAGGTAAGAATTAAAGGGATTTTGGTCAATTTGTTTTTTTGCAGCTACATGTAAATGTTAACTGGTTAAAAGTAACGACAAGAGAGGTCATGTAGCATTTGTCCCACATAATATGAACAACACCTTAAAGGGTACTATAGTTGCTTGTATAAAGAAGTGCATGAAAAGTCTTTGCACCACATTCAAAGAAACATAGACACTTTTGTTGGTTTATTTCCAATTTCACATTTTCCCCAAGTTTTCCCCAAAGATTGTCAAAATATGGATGGTAACAACACAGGAGCAAAAGTTTTTCTTTTCAGCGCAGATAAATTAACAAAGCTCATTTGATAGTTGGTGGAGTCATGTATAAATACTCTAAAGTCAAGTACCAGTACATACTTACATGTAGACATTCATGCCCGTAATTCTGCAATAATTGAATTTTGTCTTATTTGATCAGTCGTAGAGGCTGTCTTATTTTGTTGCATATTTCTTTTCCATTTATCAAAAAAACTGCGAAATTGAAGCCTCTTATATATTTTTCTTTTTTTTCCTTTTTAAGTTTTTAATTGTTATACAATACTTGGTAATTTTTGCTACTTTGATTTTTAATTTGTTAATTTTAAATGTTTTTATGATTGTAAACACTGAGTATTTCAGCAAAAACCTGTGACTGCCAATCCACTGTCTTTTTATGATAAACCAGAATAAAAATAATACAGATGTCGGAATAGCATGAAAATATTTTCATAAAATTTGTACAAGCAAAAACAAGTCCAAAACCAATGTTTCAACCTACATGTACTGGTACACGTGCACAAACTGCTTGTATTTTCTTTCTTTGCAAACAACTGATTTGAAGAGTTTGTCTAATCACAGAAAGGATCAAGGAGCGGCACAACCATTATAGGTACTTTCATGATAAAATTGTGGAAACATAGTTTTAAGAGTTACCATACATGTACCTGAATGGTACACATCGTAGGCAATCACACTTTCAGCAACCAACTGCCAACTCGCAAACTGTGTCTTGCACTGACTGGTTGCAGTGTCTATGCAGACTGTTTAATTTGGAAAGGAAAAAAACCATCAATAATTGAATACTGTAATATTGCAAAGACAAAGGAGGGCAATTTAGAGGCACCACATGCATGAATGTGTAAAAGGGTTCTTTTGCTGCAGTATTTCATTCTCTGGTGCCAATAAAAACAGGTATTGATTGAAAGCTTTGTCCAGTTGAACAGACATACCGCATGGTGGCCTTGAAAAAAAAAGCAATATGGTATGAGCAGAAATACAAGCAAGTAAAAGTACAAGTAAACAACATACATGTATATGAAATATTGAAAGGCCTGAAATTTACTCATTGGAGTGTTCTTTGCACACTTGGTGACTGCTATACTATAAAAAAAATGTGGAGCTGGAACAAAACTTGGAACAGAAGCAGCTGCATCAAAGTTGATGAGAAATCTGAGATTTGGTTTAAATAAGTGCACAGCAACTTAGCATGTCTGATGATATTTATCAAATGTGTGTGACTGTTACACGTACAGTCAGAGTTTGTCTCCAATAGAAACAAACCAAAGAGTGTTTTTCTCACTGAGATCCCTTTCTCACGGTCTGTAGCAAATGCCAGGACATCATGTATGGCGCCATGCATCTGCCAAGAGGCGACATCAAGCAAATAAGAATATGCAATTTCCAGGACATTTCACCGGGGCTGAAGTCGAGTCTATCACATATCCAGTCACAAGTCCTATTATTTGCAAATCCAGTAGTATGCCCAGTCACAAGAACCAGTAGCAGGTTGAATAAGGCCGAAAAGATGCCTTTCTCGGGGTTCATTTGATTACACCTAGCTTGTGTCTTGGCCTAACACTAGATTTGTAAGGGATGTGGAGGTACATGTACTTGCACTTGACAGGGACTTGTGATGGACTCATCTACAGTCCTAAATGTGCCTACATGTAGTTGTAGTAGACTAATCCAGGGAGACAGCATCACTGCGCCAGGCCGACGGCACCACAATAATATGTGTAGGCCTACCGGTACATTCTAAGACTTGAAGTGTATATGTGTGCAACATTCATCTGCTGGTCAAAGAGGCACATAATGCATGAACAGTGCACCACCTACATGTGATTGAGCAAGGTACCACCACTGTAATAACTTCTACTTGCTACATCATCAGTCTTCCACGGCTAAATCCCTGTTAAAACCAACCCATCATGAGCCAGGAACTCTTGTTTATGAAGCAGCAGCAGCATAAATGAGGGGTTATTTCATTTTTCATTTCATTTCATTTACTGTCGACAATTGGAAATATACTGTCGAAATTCATGCTGCATAAATTGCATAAATTATCCACAATTAAAAGGAATAACAGTAACAAATTAAAAAAATAAGAGCCACATTACATGAAGGTTAAAATATCGCTATCCAATTAACATAATGAAAAGAAAAAATATATACGCACATATTTATATACAGGTTAGAAAGACATGTAGGAAGGAAAACTATAAAACTTGATTGGCTCGACCAGTAACTTGTAAATAAAATGCATGCAACTAGTAATTGAGAACTGTCAGTTGTGTGTGCTAGAGAGAAAAAGCATCATAAGAGTATCAGCAAAGAACGATTTCAGCCAGAAAAAGAAAAAAAACTAAAGGAAAAACCAATTTCATTGTGTAAATATATAACACATCCAACAATCATTCAAAAACAGTGTGAGAACTGTTGATCAGTGTACTTGAGAACACTGTAGAGAGTGAATTGTATCAGATTTGTCTGCAGATACATGTACAACGTATGTACGTGACTTTATCCAGGACAATGTGCAATGTGCATACAGTACAGTATTAGGCTTTTAATTACATGTACAATGTACATGTAGTTCAAGACAGAACTTGAAAAGGCCATTCAAGATTGGTATGGGATAAATGAACCAAGAACAAGTACACGTATTACAAGTAATTCACAAAATAAAATACATTTGGAAGATATGTTCATGGTACACAGTCCCTGAGGCTGCAGACTTTGTGCTTTTTTAACTGCATCATTCCCTACAACTTGCTGGAACTCATCACAGCGTGAGAGCAAAAAGGTGCAGCTAATCAGACCACAACGATGACCAATCAAAAGCCTACTCAGGCAAGTCCACATAAGTAACTCACAAAATGGCTTTGTAAAGTGGGGGAAAAGGTTTCTGTTGAACTTCTCATCATGCATTTGCTAGACAGTCTTTCAAAGTTTTCCAATGAGACTGATTTGTTGCTATATCAAAGCTTGCTGAGCTGATAAAAGTGGAACACATGAACTTATTGGAAAAGGTACCATATTCAGTTAACAGCTAGAGACAGAATCGTGATCTTTATATCAAAAACATGAAAATAGCCTTAAGGTATACTCCAGGATCTGCTCTAGACATGGGGTAATATCTGTGAACACATTACCCATTATCTGGTGCTAGGAATACAACTCTTTGGTTGTGGTTTGTGAGTGCACGCCGTACATACAATCTGCCCAAACAAGATACAATTTCGCCAGTCCTTTTGGCCCTATCATTAGCCATTACACTCTTAACATGGAAATTATGAAACCTTCTCAAAGCTGAGACAATTCAATCAAGTGTTCTCTTGGGGATTCTTCCCCCTTACAAACATCAACATCTTCTGAACAGCCCCATGGGAGCCTACCTTTGAGCTCATGAAGACATTATCCTCAGACCACCCCTGATCAATCATTGAAACATCTTAAATGGCCATGGACACATTTACATACATGAACAAACTTGAAAAATAATCCCTACCTCTTCTGGCCTTTCTTAATTGCAAGTGTTCACCTCAGCGACACACGTAAACTTGGCTCACCATCGGTTAGTGAACCATTGGGTGTGAGTCAAACATCCTTGAAGTCTTGGTGCACTCAGGGGGATTTTTTCCCTCTAATATGGGAGACTTTCTGAAAAAAACAAAACAAAAAGCATGCACATCAAAAGAGCCGATCAGCTATCAGAAGTGATGATGTAGCGTGCTGCCTCAATTCAGATGGCGTGGAGAGCATGAAGCGGGCATTTTCACTGGATGCTGATCAATTTTAATGGGTGCTGTCCTCATATGTCTCAGACCCCCCCTCCCCCAAGTGATTCCCCTGTGAATCCATGGTTTAGAGATTGTGTCTTCTATATCTGAAAGGCTTTGTTTTCTTTTTGCTTGCCCATTCTGTAGCTGGAGTAATGGAGTTAAAAATGAAATAGGAAAAAGATGGATGAATAGCTGTACGAAGGACCAAAGGCAAACCACTAATTATGGCTGCATGTACAGGACTGTCAATGACACAAGGACTCTATTAATGATTCTAAGAAATCTAGGAGTACATTACATTGAATGCCATACGGATATGGCTTACGACATACATGTACTGGAACATATGCATACTTGTGAAGATATACCAAAAAACAAAAAATACTAATTACACGTATTCACATATACACGTATCTCAATATTACACATATATCTTTAGTTAAGATTACTTTTGTAAATGATCCTTTGCTTTATTGTGTTTTCTCTATGGTATGGAGCTGGCATACTATTGGTAAAATGCAAAAATGTAAAGGCAGCATGTTAATATGAATCAGCATACATGAAAATGTAAAGGGGAGAATGTCTACTGCCATATCATAGCTTTGACTGCCAGCATGTTACGTATGTCGTCATTTCTTGGTGGCCATTCCACGAGCCTCTCGGTCAGTTGAGACTTCTCAATACAATGTTCATGTAGCTGTCCCTCCACCCTCCTTCCAAAACCAATCAGTTTGAACCTTTAAAGCCAAACACTTTTCCACTCTGTACTTGAGCCAGACATGTTTTTCAAGCCTCCCTAACCTCAAGCTGGCAGCTTTACTGATGCAAGAGAGAAGCAAATCCACCCTCCATTCACCTTAATACAGCTTTAACTCTGTGCCACAAAACTCCCACTACATTTGCAGACAACTACATGTACATGTACTGCAGTTGTCGATTGATCCAGTGTCAGTGACATCTGTACTGTTCAGAGAAAAAAGTCCAGTAAAGGGCACGGAATGTATCTGCATCTCTCGCACAATTTGGCTTTGAGGGTGACTTAACTCTTCCATTTTCTTTAACAAATAAATTGACGATGGTAAATTGACTGAGAGGCCTGATAAATTGCATCTAGTCAAATCGGGTTTCACCTTTTGAAAGATCTGCACAGCTGTTAAGATTGCCAGTTTTATGATAAATGTAAAACAAGTAGCCATGTTTAGAGTACAACGTCATTGAAAATATGTAGAACTATTAAAGTGCACCTCTATGGTAAGTATAACATGTTTTCTCTGATTTCATCTGTTCAAATACTTGTACATCTGTTCATTAAAAATGGAAGCATCCAAACCGAACGCAGTGTCATTTGTCCTCAGAGCTCAACTATAACACGCTTACATGAAAAAGGGCTTTTTCCTGTTCATACCAAGATGCAAACTCATCTGTAGATTGTGTCCTTCAGAGAAAAAAATTGAAAAAAAAACGAGGGGGAAAACCCTTGCCCTGTGTTTGAAGTGGACAACCCGTGTGAATGCCAAACAATGGTAACTTTCAACTGTATGAATTCAGACTCACTGCTGATTTACATGTAATTTGGTGAGATTTCATCTCGAAAGGCACACATGTATAAAAAATAGCTACCATACTGAGATTTCACATGTATTTGCAATTAAAAATATCCCCTTATTGAACATAAATTTTTTTCTGAGGCTTCATTAGTTTGTCAATGAGAATCTGTCAGTGAGAGTTTCAGAGCAAGAAATGTCAACACATATTTGTTCCTACGGGTTAGCAGTGACTCTATGGAGTCAGACAGTATTACCATATTCATGGGAACTATAGGGACATATACTTGTTCTTACTATTTTTACCCTACCAATAATAATGTTAGTAACCACCCAGTAAGTATCCCACCAGGACAGAGTGCCTACCAGCACATTAAACCAGCCTATCATCATCAGAAATGTGTTTACTGCAAGCAATGTCTCAATCAAATCCTCATCATTAAGTCCACTTTCATATATTTTTGTAATACAGCAGACGCTTAAAAACAGCTTGACCACAAAAAACCATAAAGAAATATATATGGTGTGTACGTACTTGTACATGTGCACTTCTTCTTGGACCCCCATAATAATGCTGGCCTGCTATTTACAGACTCAATCAGAACCCCTTGACAAATTTATCTGCAACCGGATTTGGGGTCCAGAGCAAGCATCATGTCCAAACATTCGCCTGAGAATGATTCAATTACAACTGCCCGTAATATGATCACAGATACATGTAAGCCAAGGAACGTGTGTGCCAGCAGTTTCTATCTGCTGTACTTGATTTTTATACATTTTGCACACTTAAGGCCAGTAGTAGTGGCAAGACATGGCTCACCAAAGGAAAATCCTGGTTCAGGGTTCTAATAATTTGGGAAAGGGCAGAAACTACTAATGTAAAGGGGGGGGGTGCACACCTGAAAAAAGGATGAGCAACAGAGTACAAGTTATTCAGTAAATCTTTAGTCCCCAAATTCAAGAGGCTGTCCGAATGACTTCCTATCTGATGGAAACCCATCACAGGGGAAAATGCTTGAAAGATGTTTTACCTCATTCCAATGCAATTTATTATGTCAAGCACAGACACTGTCACTGTTAGTTGGGTATGATCGTGTGGTATCTACATGTACAACTCATGTACAGATTTAACCATAAACCACAAGGATCACTACTTTTAAGTCATGCATCCTACAGGTATGTCAATAGAAAAGCAGGAAAACTAAAACAGATATCCAGAAATTGCCCTATCACTCACAAAAATAGCAAATATTTCATAAGCATTGCTCGGTCAACTATCCATCTCTAATGTAAATATGCTTGAATCCAATCACAGCTGTTCTGTTGAAGACACAATGACAGCATTCCCAGTGCATCGTCTGAGGAAATGTAATTGAATGTCATGATTTATTCAATCAAAAGATGGCATTAAACTTTAATCACATCAAATCACTAGCAAATATGTAGAGAAAAAGTAATAAAAAAGTCCAGACATATTCACATCACTGCATCCAAGAGGAATACACTTTGCAATCTTTTCAACAATCAAATTTAATAATCCTCACGTACATGTACTTGACAAGTTACATGTACTTGGGAGATCTAACAATGTATTGGATCATATTGAGTATTTTTTTTTCATTTCAAAATTTCTTTGACATTTTCTCAAATCTCAAAAGGAAAAGAAACATACGACAAGATTCCAAGTGGAATTAATCCCAGTGACAGCTGACTGCTGATCGTGGGCAGCAGCTCCATCGTGGATGTACGCTTAATGACTGTGGCCAACTTGAAATTCCGGCCCAAAATTCTTGCTATCAACACATTTTACCGTACATACGTTCAGACTATTGGCTATCGGGTGTATGTGTGGCTGCAGCCACCCACCCACCTTGATCAGAGGTGCAGCATACTGATTCAATCTTCATCAAAAACACTGAAAACGCTAAATACATGTACACTGTTGCCATATCTTTTATCTCTCCATTTCTTTTCAATCTTTCTTGGATTGGCCAATTAGATATCTAAATATTCACAACAAAGTAAACCCATCTCCTGACAAGTGATAGTTCCCATGCCTGCAAGGAGGTTTGAGTTTGAAAAACTAGATCAAGATAAACCATTGTATAAACCTACTGACCAAGTTTGTACAATGCTGATGAGACCACTTATTGCAGTCTGCAGTGCTTAATGCTTGAAAACAAAGATTTCCTACACGTGCCTCTTTATCAATGAACATCGACATTTTCTATTAATTTTCTGCAAAAAATGGCCCAGAATTTATCAATTCAAAGTCCTCTATAAAGGCAACCGAGCCAATTCCATGCATTTGTTTTTGTTGTTCTGTTTTTGCAGAAATGCATATACTTTGATTGATTTTTCACCACCAGGCATGCCATAGCAGTGAATTTTACATGGTGCTCCAATTTACCCCAGCTGGATCGGTGGAACAACAGCCCTGGGCTGCCAGTCTCCCACTCCAAATGTCAAATCCCTAGCACTTTATTGGTCTATGTTGGCCATTAGAAATAGAGTCACGCCTTGCTCTTCTTTTTTTTCACAGTGTGATTTTTTGATCAATAACTAATTTGCCAAGAGGCACAGAGAGAGACTGACAAGGGAAATTTACGCTCAGGTGATGATGTACTTCTACATATGTCAAACTGAAGCCCAATCACTTTTTATCTGGGGATATAGGCATGAAATCACAGAGATTTCTGACTTGAGATGCTGGAATGTTCAGACAACTGAGTCACACCTGTATACATACATGTATGTACATGTGTTACATGTGAAATTCAACAGTCCTAGTCAAGGATAAAATGATGAATTTCAAGGAAGCACTCAAGTGAAACTTCCACTCCACTGAAGTTTATTTATTTTGCCATATTGTTGTTATTTTATCTGGAATTTGTAAGAAACCTGACACGTATAGTGTATTTTGTCCCCCCCAATTTACTTCTTTTTCTTATTACATGGCATTTGAAAACAGGTACACCTGTACCATAATGTATGATTTTCAAAATACTGGTTCAGTTTGCTACACGGTGTAAATGGTTAAAACTAAACACAAGAAAATAAGAGGTTGATGAGTGGCATATCTAATTGTACATTTCCAAAAACTAAGGAAGTCAGGGAAACACATGCATGCATGTACATGTACATGTTACTACATGTATTTCTGGCCATGTGTGCGACCTAACAATTCAAATCTAAATGTTAACAGCCGTTTGGTCCTACATGTATATAAACATCTCAGTAATTTTTAGCCACAGAGCCACTGGTTTAAAATGAATTAAGTGACAGGGTGCAATGTAGGCAGCATCAAATACCATATAATCACAGTGATTTTATT